AAGAACCAAAGCTTCTTGAATGTCACATGCTTTGGGACACTTGTAGTTGTGGTTTATAAAGAAATAATAAAATAGAGCTGGAACAAAACAAAACCACATTTAAGTATAGAGGGTCTACTTTTACATTCAAAGATAATATGGGATGGTTCTTATCCTTTCCTTCGTTTGCTAGAGTAATGATATTTTGTTCACCACTTAAGCCTTATCTTGTGTTATCGTGCCATCAACAAGCGACATAAATGCTCTTACGTGGGTGCTGATCCACACCAATGTCAATCATCTCAAGCCAATAAATTACAGGGTGTCCATGGTGCATTGATTAGTTGCGGTGTTGTATGAACTAATTGGTGGTGGGTAATTTTGGGGGGCAAGTTTGTAAATAAATGTTACGTGAAACTGTATTGCAGGAATGACAATTTGTACCACCCCATTCGGAGTCATGCTTTGTCCGGCCTGATATGAATATAGGAATCGTTTATGTACTGTAAAAGCAAAAATGAATTTAAATTTTATACTCAGGCGAGTATAAGTTTTGAGAAACATTTGTCCTGCCCCTCTCATTATACTTTATTTAAATATATCTATATCATTATATATATATATATATATATATATATATATATATATTGTATAAAATTTATAGATTTTATCTATTTATTTATATAGATAACAAAAAATAAAAATAAAAAAGCGTAAACAGGGCAAGGCGGGCATGTGTATACTCATCTCTTAACGGGAAATGTATGAATTGTGAAATTAAAACTCATTGCAGGTATAAATTTATTTATAATTAAATGGGACGGGTATGAATTTAAACAAAACCCTCTCCATTCCTGCTGCATTGCCATCTCTATACATTCTACTAGTTCGATATTCCCGCCAAAACAGTGGTGGTGTACCTCACATTTATATGATACACTCTACTATCAGATTTTGTCAATTATATATATATATAGAATATGTTGTATGCAAGATTCACATTAGCGGTCACGGTTGCAGTGTAACATATTTGAACAAAATCAGTGTAAATTGATCGATACGAATTACATACCGAATCTTAAAAAAGAATAACATATCAAATTATACAACTTGCTTGTGCAACTCAATTGAAGTGACACTATATTTGGGCATTATTGGTATCCACTAATTATAACGGTATTGACTCTAGGATCTGGGCTATGGCTCATGGTACTGGCTAGTGTTAACATTTTTATCTTAAAAAGTTACGAGTTGATACCTAAGTATCTATGTTATTGAAGCAAATTTCATGGCTTTAATTATAGGCATATACTGGGTCTTTTGTCTTTTCTAATAAGTTCATATAGAGCCAATATAATCATATTTGTTGTAGAATTTTGTGCCTCGGATTCTAACAGAACATGATTGGATTTTGTACGCATAATGCACTTTTAGATAATTGCAACTTAATCCTCTATTTATCCAAGAGACAATTATGTTCAATTATGTCTTGGGATTAGTTTAAACCTATTTCTTAGTTAATTACAAGCTCTTTCAGACTTTAGTTTGATAAAATTCAAGTTCATACAGATAAACTCCAACGAAATGTACTTTACTAGAAGCAGTGTGTTTATATATAGAAAAATGATTAAAACTCGAGCAAAATGTACTTGGTTAGAATCAGTGTGTTTATATATATATAAAAAATGATTTAAAATTTGACTAATATCATGATATTAATATCTAGTCACGTAATATTAGTCAGAATTGTCAAGACTGTTAAACTCCTTATCATCATCATTATTATATATATATATATATATATATATGCGCGCGCAATTTAATTTGGGTTAGTGGTGACAGTTGATTGTATAATGGGTAGTTATTCTATATCCACAAACCTTCAATCAATCTTAATAAAGCTGAGATTCCACTCAGGTCTCTAGAACCATGTAGAGTTAATTTTGATCATGCATTTTAGGTGACATCTCCTTAAATACATGCATGCATTTCATTATTTATGAGTCACCAAATAGTTAGTTGTATTTTCATAAGCCATGGTGATGTAATTGATCATCATCCAACCAACAAAAGAATTTTACTTGGGTACGACGCAGCAAAGAATGAAATGATGAACCCTGTTAACATGGGTTGCAGGGAAAGAGTTAGGGATGATTGAGGAAGGATAGGGACGATTGAAGAAGGATAAATGAACATTCTTATGTTTGGTTGAAATTAAGCCATAGAATTATGAAAGAGACGAGGAAACAAGGAGGGATGACGCTTTCTTTCTTACTTTTAGTTGTTCATATATATATTTCAATTTGTTAAAATAGAAAGCTAATGGTGTGGGAACTCTTTTTAGAGTATTACTTATACACACACACAAACATGTTAGCTTTTTGAGAGAAATTATGATGATCGTGTGTGTGTATATAATATTTGTGTGTGCTTGTGAATGATACTGAGACGTTAAGAAAAGTGTAGGCAATTGATTTTTTTAGTATTTATTATGATATATTAATTAAAGAAATGAAATGCCAATCTTTAAATTTTTATATCTAGGAAGGCTAGAGGGAGTGGATCTTGCGTATAATACTGTTTAAAGTATACTATCACTAATTTCTTTAAATCTTTCTCATTAATTTACTTGATTCACATTTGAAAATACAGTCAACTCCTTAAGATATGCATATATACAAACACATATACATTAAAAAAATTAGAGCAAGATAGAATAAAAAAAATGATATATAGTGGTTATTAGATGTGAAACGTGTCAGATCGAAATATAAATATATATATATATATATATATATATATATATATATATATATATATTGAAAAACTAAAAAGTACTGTATGTGATTAACATGTCGAATAGCCGCGTTACCACTAAACCATGCTTTGGTTTGTGTTTTACTTCTCATACGTGGATACAAATCTCACATTACTTTCCCTTAAAGGTTATACTTTACTATTTTTAACATGTGCTCATACCACAATTTGAAATTTCCTTTCGTGGGTGGTAATTTATTTGATATTTTATGCTAGGGCTTGTAAAAAAATTAGATATTTTTTGGACCAACATTTTAGCATACACGTAGGAGGGAAAGTAAGGAATATTGCATGATTAGATTAATGTTATTTATATTTATTTCCCTGCCGAGGGTGTAATAGAAATAATTTTTATTCATTCGATAAAGTAAATAAGATTAATACTATGCCTTAGGTTTCGTTTAGATACACAGGTTAGAAAAGAAAGAAAAAGATTATAAGAGAAAATAAAAGGAAATGAAAGGATACCTATAGTTTATATTTATTTTTAGATAGATAGGAGAGAAAAAAAAGGAATTGACAATATTGTTAATTGGATAATACAACGGAGAGAAAAGAAGAAAAATGATAATAATGAAATTATCATCTTACCCTTTTTTAGTAGGGTTAGTAGGGCAAAATCATTTCAGCCTCCCAATCGCCTCCACCGTTCTCTCTCTCTCGCCTCCGTCATTCTCTCTATCTCTCCAACTGGAAACTACAAAATTTACAAGAATCAGAACATTAAAACCCATATCTCGGCATATCATTTTAGATTGTTCCAAAAATCAAAATCAAACTATGTATATATATATATATATTTCAGCCTCCCCAAACTACATATATACATATCGACATGCACATATATATAGCTTCAGCTGGTTGTCTCTCAACTCTCTTGTCCCTTATGTAAATTTGCTCCATTTCTCTCCAAATCCTCAAAATCTTGTCAATTTTGGAGGGATTCCAAATGAGGGATTTAGAGGAATTGCTATCCCTCCAAATCTCTCCAAATCTTTTCTTTTCTCTCTTATTCCTCCCATCCAAACACATTCATCACTATCTTTCCCTTTCTTTTCTCTCCAAATCTCTCAATCCAAACGAAGCCTTAGTGACCGAAGTCATAATTTTTTTTAGGAGGGGGCGGTTTTAAACAACGATAAGATAAAATATATATACATATATATATCAATTATTATTAAAAAATATTAATAATTTAATTAAAAAAAATCAGTAAGGTTGTTGGGCCCCATTGGCTATATAAGGTGGCTTCGTGCCTAAGGTACGTTATAACTCCATTAAACCGAAAATTTAACACTTTTTTGTATTTGTTAGATGGTCGATTTAAAGTTAATTACTACATTTACTATTTAAAATTGTTATATGGAAAATAATTTTTGCCTAGAGTAGTTGCGGTGAATTGGTAGACTTACTATTATTTTTAATTAGTCATTTATACAACAAATAGGAGAGTGAAGTCTTCTATTTACTTGTATTTAGCATAAATAACTAATCAAAAATCATTCGATTAGACAAATCATTGCAAATTTTCCGTGTGAATATCACTGCTACTTCTGCTCTTGCTATATACATCATATAAAGTTTGTATTAGGCACAATAATGACACATGAGAGGATCTTGGTTGATTTATTATTGAAAAAAAAAATAAAAAAATAAATATCTATCCCACAAGACTAATTGTAACAAAGGTCATTTATCCCACATCAAATCGGGATGGAAAAAGTAATTGTGTATAAATGGATGAATATGCAGTACTACCCAACAATTTGAGATTTTAAATAAACGGGCAAACGCCCACTTGTTACCGTTGGTATTAAAGTCAGATCCAATTTTTGATCCGGTATCACGCCAAGTATTCGGTCCGAAAGGAGTTCGAGCTGCAACGAGGGCGTTGCGAGTTTGGTGGGAGGAAACGTAACAATGGTCATTTGTTCCATATTGACACCGAATGAAAAAAATAATTGAGTATAAATGGGTATGTAATAATACCCTACCGGAGTAAAAAAATCTGAAAGTTTAACTCCATGGTAAAATCACCCATTAAAATGAAACTTTTAACTCCATGGTAAAATCACCCACATTCAAGTTATAAAAACAAGTGGTTGATGTGTTGAATACCTTTTCTTTATGAAGTTTTAATTATTATCTGTCCTCTCCGTCTCTGCATATTAACCTTTATATCTTAGTCAGAATCAAGACAAACCAAAATAATCTGACCTATCATCATCTTTCATCCACTGTCTGTTGAAAAATCAAGAAAACACCCAAACCCTAGATTTTTGAATCATTCCACCAATGGACCTAACTACAACCCCCACCAAAAATCCAGATGCAGAAAATGAAACCCCACCACAGACCAAACCCAATAGTAAGTCCTTATCCTTCACCAACTATGCACTGAAGCAACACCACCACCACCACCACCACCATCTGACAGCAGTCTCACCACCACCGGCTGCGGTGGTGACATACGGAGAATGTCAGAAGAATCACGCCGCCAGCTTGGGTGGCTACGCCGTGGACGGTTGCGGTGAGTACCTCCCCTCCCCCACCACCACCCCCACTGACCGCACCTCGCTAAACTGCGCCGCCTGTGGCTGCCACCGCAACTTCCACCGCCGCGAACCTGATTACACCACTACCACCACCCACTTTCTCGACTTCCGCCGCCACCCTCCATTGCCACCGCCACAACCACCTCGCCGGATTAATTCACCCTCGACCTCACCCTCAACTTCACTCTCACCACCACCTCCACCAGGACCACCACCACCGCCGCCACCACCATCTTCATACTACCCTTCAACACCCCACATGTTGCTGGCCTTAAGCACCGCCGTCCAACACCAACCCACAACGAATCACCGTCCGGTGGTGGCGAAGGCGGAGAACCCAAGTGGGCGAAAGCGGTTCCGGACTAAATTCAGTCAAGAACAGAAGGAGAAGATGCTGTCATTTTCAGAGAGATTGGGTTGGAAGATGCAGAAGTGTGATGAAGGATTGGTTGAAGAGTTCTGCAATGAAGTTGGTGTTGGTAAAGGCGTTCTCAAGGTTTGGATGCACAACAATAAACACAACTTTGGGAAGAGAGAGACTAACACCACCACAACCACCGTCGCCGCCACCACCACCACCAACAACAACAACAGTTGTGATAGAATTATTAGCTATGATGAACACAACAATGGCCACAACATCAACATTGACAATACCAACAAGATCAACAATAGTACTGATTATCATGGTGACGATGACAGTAGTGGTGCACATCTTCATGATTCCACTGATGGCTCTTCTTCATCTTGATCCAGAGAGAGGTGATATATAATTCCTTCTCTTTTTCGATCATTTCTTGATCTGAATTGTTGTTTAATGAATAGTAGTTAGTGTAAAGAGGTAGAGAAGAAGATAACAGAAAATAAATATCTCATCAATTCATTTGTGAGGGATAATCTTTTTTTTTTTTAATTCACTAATTATTTAATAATTTTGTTGTATTTGAAAGTAGTAAATGTTTGAACTGAATTTCTTCTAATTTTAGATGGAAGACACAGATTCAATATTCTCAAACTCAAACATACTTTTATGTATTTCCTTGTTTTTTTCAAAAGAAAATCCATTAGCCCTTAAGAAGATTGTGATTTTTCTCTTTTATTTAATGGGATTTTTTTTATTTTTTTTATTTTTATTTTTATTAGCATGTATATGATTTTGGTAGGAGTTGTGTTAGTGGTGGTCAAATGTCACAAATAGGTTTCAATTAAAATTTAAAATCTAAGAGAAGTAATCGGTTACCCTTCAATTTTGACAAGTGATCTCATATTGGTTTGTCCAAAGAAATAATTCAAAAGAAAAAAAAAAAAGAAGGGAAAGATTATGAAGAAATTATTATGTAGTGCGAATATGTGATCTCGACTAATTATATAATATCATATCATTTTAAAAAGATCAAATAAAATTAATTCATTTAATTTAATGATATTTTGTAATGGGTGGAGACTATTTATTTTAATTTCTTTATCAGTTACTTCTTCTTTTTTTTTTTTAAATAATTATTTATTTTAAAAATTGTGACTCATAAAATTATGAATAAATTTTTATAAACAATTAATTTAAGATGGAGGGAGTAATTCAGTGACGAAATTTGTTAAAGTAATTGAAATCGTTAAATTTGACAAAAATAAATTTAGAAGTCCTTGTGGATTCATCTGCCATTTTTGCTTCTGATTTCATTTATACGACATCATTACTTTCTGCAGGGTTTATGTACACTTGTCGTGGTGGGAGTAATGGGACTGATGGAAAGAGTTGGTAGATCTTTGAATTTCATTGAAGCAAATCCTCAAAACCCTATTCTCTTTTTCCTAGCTTTTTAATCATTGTTTCATTATTTAAAAATAAAGTCATGTAGGTGCATATGCCCTCTATTCTGAGTACCCTTGGATGAAAGGACGGTTCTCTCCTTATATTATCTTGTTTTTGCTTATTTCTAATTCAGGCAATGAGGGGATGTCTTGGTGTTTAACTTAGGTCAAGTGAGAGAAGTGCATATTTTTTAATTACAATTTAACCAAACTTGTGACATATCTAAATTTTATATGCTATCTTGTAATATGAACTTGTAAGGCAAGCAGGCTTTATTGTATTCTAATAGCAACAAATAAAGGGTGTCTAGAATATTATCCAGCCCCTTTCCTTATTGGGTTGGTTGATTGAGGCGGCAAGCTTTATTTTTCTTCGAAGATTAGTTTAGCCAATAATAATAATAAAAAATATATATATATTAGTAGAGGTTAAGAGAATCATAAATAATAATTTTTGGGTTGGCATGAAACACCCACTAACATTCTATTTAAGTATTTATACATATTTTATGTGTCTATATCCGGGCTCAATTCTTTTCCTTCTCTTTGATGATGGAAAAAATTGTATCATTTACTACATACTCCTTGATATAAATAATGATAATAAAGTAAGTGATAGTTGTACTTTTAAGTTTATTAAAGCTTTTGAAATAATAAAGTTTTTAGTTAGTATCTCTTCTTTCTTTGAAATAAAAAGTTCAGGGTTGAAGCTTCTAATACAACATGAGTGTGCATGCAATTTATAAAAGAAAATATAAGATACAAAATGGTGTGATATATATATGTAAACTTTGAATAGTAATATTTTAAACTGGCTGCAATTTTTTCTTTCTGTTAATTCTTGAGCGTATTCCATTTATAATATGTCATGAACTAAATTAGAATCATTTTCAACTATTCTATAAGAAATGATCCCCTGTTTTTTAGTGGGTTCGAATAGAGACCCGAAATCTTGAGCGTTCAATCCAACATAATAACTCAAAAACATAAAAAAGCTAGTATCATCATATAAATTTCAAATTTGAAGTAGCTATCCACTATAGATTATAACTCACTCGTATCTCTTTCATTTTTTTAAGGTGGTAGATTGACATTTTAAGGCCTCATAGAGAGAATTAGGTAGAGGTGGACACGGATCGGATTGGATTAGGTATCAATCTTAATCCGATTTGATCCCAACGGATTGAAATTTTTTTAGTCCGTCACCCATCCATGGGATAACGGATCAGATTTGCGAATTGGAGTTTTTCCAAAATTGTCTAATATTATTTATTTTTTAACTAGCTGAATAGATAAAATTTCAATTTATCAACATTAATTCATATATTTATAAATGATCATTAAATAGTAAGTCCATTAAATTATCAGTAACTAATTAAATTAACTAATACATTCTTTGAATATATATACATAAATCTCGCAGATCGGAATTTTAATAGTCCAATCCGTGAGTTATGAATTTAAATTTTTTTTAATCTACCACCGATCTATGGGTGTAGCAGCTCCGCACAAATCGGATCACATTCGCAAATATCTGTCCACCCCTCGAATTAAGGGTTTGCTTTTAAAATATTCTAATTACTAACATTTTTTGGGATTAAGTAAATAAATAAAATTACCAACTCTTTTTTTTTTTTGGGAAGGTAAATTACTATTTTTTTTTTTTTTTTTTTGTCATTATAAAAAAAGTCACACATCCACTTTATTCTGTTAGAAACTCAAACTTTTACCATCCAATTTAACCAGCGGAAGAAATACTACGAACCACAAGTTTGTTGGTACTATTTTCTTATTCTTGATGAGTCAGTCACACAATCTAATGGGTGGCCAAAAAGTTGACTCTCTTGGGCAACTTTTAGAAATCCAAGGATTGGGCTTGCTTGTTTCTACCAACCTATTGAGGTGAGTGGAACGGTAGATTTACCCAAATAAAAAAAACTTTTGGAATATGTGGACCAACTACCTTTTATTGTTTAGGCCAAGCCCAAAAAATTAAAAATCAAAACATGGCCCAATTTTAGATTCCCCACTCAGCTCGACTTTATTTTTATTTTATTTTAGTAAGGTAAATCATATTTTATAAATTGATCACTATGGAGCTTAGTCAGCTAAATCACATTTTGTTAATCAGAAAATAGTTCTTAATAATTCAGAAAACAAAAATCTGTTTTATGAGAACAATTTTTCAAAAAACAATTTTTTTAATTAACTTTTCAAAAAAGAGTTATTAAAAACTTTCAAACAAATAGATATTAGTACAAATATATATATACATATATGTGACTTAGATTGAAATGGCACGCATCAAAATGTTACAACTATCATTCACCAAAATAAGCACGAATACCTCCTAATGGGCCTCCAACATATATACCTAGAACAAGCAAAAAAAACCATCTCATGTGTGCTGTCTTTAATCTCCTCAACATGTTACAGCTACCAGTTTTAAATGATTTGTGGTTTCAATTCTCACCTATGTCTCATTTATTATATCTGCAAAATGTTTTCTAGTCATCAATTAACACGATTAAAGATCAACCAAACTTGTTTCCAAATTCATCAATGCATGTCACATAACCTGTTCCCAATTGGTAACCTCAAATTGCTTCAAATCCTTGTTACCAATTTATTTTCTAAAAATTCAATCAAACATGTCCTAGGTTTATGGTAATTCAACATTTCTTTTGTCAACGATAACAGTAAAAGGCTCTTAAATTATTTCGTAGTCCATTATTGGATCATCACATACAAACTATACTGCTATTTTCATCATATACATTCGTACATATGAAATTGAAATTAGTTGAATTGAAGAATATTAGCTGCAATTTTATACGAACATGTAACCTAACTCAAATATAAAATTCCCAAAAAATGTTCCTCTAACATTATATTACTTTCATGATATTTTATATTACTCTAACATTTATATTCAACCTTTTTTTTAACATTCAAGAGGATAAAGGGTTCGAGCCCCGCTTGAGTAACTATAAAAATAAATAAATAAAAATAAAAATAATTATTATTACTAATATGCTAACATAAGACAATTTTCTTTTGTTTTTAGACATTTTTATTTTTCTATAAAAAGAAAAGAGTATAATCATCATACCGAATAACTCAATGCCATGTCCTACATATTAAAATCCAAATCTTTGGGCCTTAATCTCAGCCGTCCGATCGAGGGCGACATGACTCCAAGAACCCTATTATCTATTGGTGTTCCCTCTCAAAACTCTCTTCTGCTTCAGCTCACAAAGAAAGAGAGAGAGAGAGAGAGAGGTGAAGCCGTACGAAGATGGTTCAACGGTTAACCTACCGCAAAAGGCATAGCTATGCCACCAAATCTAATCAGCATCGGGTCGTCAAAACCCCCGGTACATATACACACACATATATCTATATATGCTGTATTGATAATACTTAATCTGTTCATTCCTGCTCATTAATTGATCCCTGCAAATTTATATCCGTTAATGTATATATATATGTGTGTGTGTGTGTGTGTTTGTGGTTATAGAATTAGGGTTTGTGATGATTATTCCTTTCCATGAATTAGATTGTGTATGAAGCACATTTGATTTATGTTTATGTGACTGTTTCATTTGGGGTTTTGGAATGTATCAATTTGATGCATTTTCCTGATTATATTAAAACCTTAGTAGTTCAATTTGGTATTTTGGAATGTATAATTCATTTGAATTTATTGTAATCGCTTTCGACTATGGCGTTAATTAGACTATTAGTAACCATATCGAAAAATAATATAAACTTAAAATTAGTGATTTCTATATATAAAGAAACAGGTCTCAATATATATATATATATATATATATATATATATATATATATAGTAAATCAATGAGAACTGAAATATAATTTGGTACATACAGAGAAATAACAATGAGATTATATATGACCATGCCTCATCCAAAAAAACCAATCTCAACAAGCCTGCATTTATTTATATAATAATGTGTTTATAACATAAACACATTCCAAGTTGGTCCAAAAGTGCAACATGAAGATTGCTTTTAAGGTCGCTTTTCTTTCTTAAACTACATAGTAAGAGTCGGGAGGCCTCCAGGAATCAATCTCTTATTCAAATGCATCCAAATCTCAATTTAGCTGAACATATCGGGAAGAGGTCTCACTGCCATGAATGCATCCACCATCTGATATAGAACAAAGGAGTATATTATAAATCACACCCTTATATCACCTTACCATCTTATCGAAGCAACAGAGTATAAATTTTCTTCACCACATGGGAAATAAGCTATATAAACAAACAATATAAAGTTAAACAGATTTTCTCGTATTGTTGAAATTCATCGTCATCAACATCATCTTTGCCTTATCCCATATGAATGGGGTCGGCCACTCCAATCTTTCCTATTGCATGCCATTTCCTCTACTATAAATTGATCCAATTAGAAAGTTTACTCATGGTAAAGCATCCAGTTCTAATTTCAGCTACTGAAAAACGAGGATTCCTAAACTACTTTTAATAGCACACCGTTTACTAAACATATTAAAGTTTGTACAATATTATCAGCAAGGGAATAGATTAAATATTATTCCAGGAACAAATTAAGAGGAATATTTTTCTACAGTGTACCATTTACAACAATGCCACTGAAAGATGTGAATTGACATAAGTTGACACGTTAGATTATAGTAAAGCCCCAACTTTTATCATTATTCTTATCTTTTTCTCGGCCAAGTAGGTGGGCAGTGACGGATCTGTGAAGGGCTCAGTGGGGGCATCTGTCCCTACTGAAATTTTTTATTATTGTGTTTTATATCCTAAATTTATAATTTTTTACATTTATACTCATAAAATTTTGAAATTGTCCCCACTGAAATTATTAAAAAATCCATCTATATAAATTTGCCTCCCCTCATATGAATTCCTAGATCCGTTCCTGTATGTGGGGATGGGGATGGGGATGAGGATGGAAACGGTGTTCAAGCTCCTTTAGAAACTCGGTCCAACTCAATAGCTCCTAACCGCAAACAGAAATTCATAAAATAAAAATATTTTCAATGAAGTGTAGGGTCATGCAACTTATAATTCATGTTTCTGACAATCAAGCAACATTTGCAGATCCTATGACATTATCTAATCCTTTAACAATGTTTACCAATAAAAGCAACAATCTACTGAGCGATGCAGGTAACTTACCTCATCAGTCACGGAAGCCCGAGCCCTCCTATGTCTTTCCACCATTTCCGTCAAAACTTCAATAAGTCGTTTCTTTACTTCACCAGTTAACATACGCCCTGCACCATATTCCTGAAAGGGGGAAAAAGGTGGGATTGGGACAAGAATTCTTCAAGAAAGAAATCAAAGCAGCTGTCATTTGTGTGTGTAACACAGTCTGGCATGCATGAAGAACTAAATGTAGAACAGTATATATTTTCACCAAAAGGAAAACATCAGTCCATTAAAGATAATTATCTCACCTTCCTTATATGTTCAAGTTCAGCATCATCTTCTAGGAAAAAACCAAGGTATTTAATTGGAATATCTACCTGAATAATGTCCAAGACAAAAATAAAAAATAGAAAGAGATCAGTATGTATCCAGATTGCTTCCTAAATGGCAGCAGGCACTGGTTGAGCAAAGATCATCCATTATCATGAGACATAAAAGTATATGTACTCTGAAACTCACCACTTTCAATACACACACAAAGACAAGCAGAAGCGTAGGAAATTGAAAACAATAAAGAGCTTTCTTGCCATTTTCCAATAATTTGAGTTCACAATACTGAGAGATGCACAGCACCATGACTTTGCGAAAAAAAAAAAAAAAAAATCATTCTTCATCGTAACATTACCAAACTGAAAGAATAAGAATATTGGTACCTCAAGATTTGCTCCATACTTTCTGTGATTCTCTATAGAATCTTGCCCACCAGAGAATGCATAACTGTTTATCTGTACATAATTGCCGTTAATAAAAACCATAACATAAGCATATTTGATCAATGTCTATTAAGCTCCAACATAATGGACCTCATAACGTACAAGGAGTTCCAAAACAAACCTTGTTCTTAATGTCCTTCCCTGAATCAGTCACGTAAATTGCAGAATTTGGATCACTGGCAGACATTTTTCCCGTCTCACCCTGCAGACATCCATGCTCAGGGAAAGAAACAAACTATAGTCTACATGAACAATCAAATGTGTACCAATATGCCATTGCTGTTTCACATATTCCTAGGTTTTTTTAAGTTCTTGGGTCATCAAACGCAATTAAAACCTTCAAGTTTTACCATTGGCCTATAACGTCCCTACCCTCAAAGAGGAGGGGAGGGGTTTGAGCCCCGGCATAGGCAATGTCTGTGTGTGTGAGTACTTCCTGATCCAAAACAAAATAAAAAATCAATTTTCGATGAATATGACCAACCACCTTACGTTGAAGTCCTCAAGAGTTTTTTCACTTCATTTGGAGACACACCTTTACTAGAAGGGAAAATTTTAATTTGGAGATAACACCTTTAATAGATGGGAAAGTAATCTTCCTCCATTTTATTCAGAAGTGCAAATAAAGCATGTGGCTAGTAACTGACAATGTAAAATCCTAAATAATTACCTAATTTAGAAATTTAATCAGATGATACTAGGACTCAGCTTTATAGTGATGCATGGCTGGTCAAAGCCAAATATATGGAATATTTTAGGGTGGCATGCGTCTCCGTTTGTTGATTTCAGAACCAACGGACAAGTCTATGATGGTTATATCAATGACTGAATTTCAATGAAAGACTTAAACACCATTGAGCCACAAATCTGCAACAAATTTCCATACTCATGTAAGCATGAACTAAAAGATAACAAGACCATGTGTGTGTGTGAGTGTATCCCAAATATAAATACCTTAAATGAAAGAATAAGCTCAAGAGCCATGACTGCAATAGCAATTGGTGAAATGCAATATATATATATATTTCTCATCATTAAAAGCATTGGAACCAACTTCAGCAGAGTCATACAACCAAAAATATTTGCAAGAGCAGAAAGCCTTTGGGAATCAATTAAAAGATACCTGAAGGGCAGGAAAAAATGATGACTCGATTAACGCAGGCTTGTGATAACCTATTCGAGGAGCAACATCTCGTGTCATTCGAAAATAAGGATCCTGAGAAAATGAGCAAACTGAGGTAAGGACCATAAGAAAAAGAAAAAAGAAAAAAGAAAATAGAAAAAAATAGACAGGAGTGAGATTTTAGTGTGGAGAAAGGGATCAAGGTAAAGTAAGGATAACAATGAGAAGATCAAAAAACAAAAAAGAAACCAGATACCCTATGCAGATGGTCATCCCATGTCGCAGAGAAAAAATAATCATTTGGATAGAAATGGAAAGAAGTTACAATATTTTGATGAGCACAAAATAATACTAAAGCAAAGCCAAGTCAGTCAGACCAATAAATGGATGACCCAGTCTTTGGATCAATTTGATCTACCATGACAGGTTGAGCTTGAAAACCACTGAAACCAAAATGGCCCACATGGGCTTCAAGCAGAATGTTCCACCTCCTCTTCTCTGGCTTTTCTAGGCCTCTCCCCTTTCTCTTTGCTATTGCTGTCTACTTCTATTTCTTATTCGTGTTCCCTTCTTCCGCTTCAGCCTCTTGCTCCACCCATGGCTATGTGAACTTAGAAAGCGTCATGGACTACTTGTGCATTTCACACCTTATGGCTCGCGTTGCCCCTATAGTGACCAGCCCTTTTGATTGTTTTCCTTAGTATCCCTATCGTTAACTTTAATCTTTCCTACTCTTCTTTTACCCGTAGCTAATAATTTCCTTTATGCATAGAGGGATTATTCCCATGGTTTATATACTTTCAATATACAAAATGGGCTTTTTTGCAAGTTCTTAGTTTGTAGAATTTTGAATATGGAAATAATGTGAGTGCATAACTGCATTTTCTAGCTGTTCTAATGATGCTAGCATGCTTAGTTCTGGTAACATGTATAATGGTCGTGCAACATTGCAACTGCATGACAAAAAGAAAGTAATTTTAAAATTGACATTACCATTTCTAAAAATTTACCATACACAAACACTTCCATTCTATATCCAAATATTTTGCCAATACTTATATCCAGTTACTAATGGCGAATTAATCCATATTTGGATGCAATATTATAGTAATCCAGAAAGATCATCCAAAAATTAAGTTTCTTAATAGTTAAAATATATACAAAGCCCATATTTTTTTAATTAATTAAGCAAGCACTTTTGATATGTTCATCAAGCAAGCATATGACCGAAAGTCTAATTATAACGGATAAAACATCTGGATGATAGGAAGAATTAACCTGATCAATTGCGCATGGAATCAAGCAGCGGAGATTATCTTTGCCAGAAAAGAGATGTGGAAATGAACTGGGAAAGGATGGAACGGCCTGCAGTTATGAAATTTAGACCATTGAGACAAAACCATGCATTATAATCATAACAAGAAATATACTATCTAGACTGTTTTTATTGCTTCCATCCATATATTGTGTCTTGTGGTAGAATCCGACATATACAACCCAAAGCATTGTTAATGCAATCCTTTTGTCACAAGAAACAACATTTTACAAACAAAAAGGAGAAAAGGAGGAAGAGGGACAACACCCCCCTTTTTCTTTTCTTTTTTTATTATAAATAATAGTTCTTTCTAGAATTAACGATAGATGATAAAAATCATACCTGAACAGGCGGAAAACTTATCTTCCCTATATGGTCTTCGCCAGTAAAGCCAAAAATACTAACAGCCTGCATGGAAGCAACAAACTTATTACCAGTTTGAAAGCTTAGATTAAATAATATGCAAAAAAAAAAAAAAAAAAATTATAAAACAAGGAAATGGAAAGAAGAATCTCATTCATCATTCTTTCTGAAGATTTTCACTACGAACCAATCACCTTATTGTATGTCACACATTTTGCAACCTTCACCATGTTCTTGTAAAAGGCACTGCACAGAAAATTTTGACATAAGAGCAGTAGGGGAGCAGAATAAGCCAACACTGCCTCTGTACTATGCATGACAAGACTGTCTCTCACACACTTCTGAAAACTAACTTGAACTTCAAAGTTCAAAGACACTGTTTGTAGCAAAAAGAAGAAGGAGAAAATACAAAGTCCAAAGAGACTGTTTGAGCTCGACTCGTTAACAATTAATTTTTGAAGACTGAGAGTCCGCATGCACAATACTTACCCGCCAACATAATCAAAATCTGAGAAAATGAAAGTTTTTGAGATGTCAAAACCACAGGCTATGATGTCTTTAGCATTTTCATGAGCAAGTCTCTGGCTCTCCTCCACGGATAGATTCTTCCACATGCACTTCTCATCGTCAGTAAGTTGTATAACAAGAGGGACCTTGAAAGCATCCTGCAAATATCTGTAAGCAAAACAAGATAAACTACAATTTGTCAACAGAGGTAAAAACAACACGAGACACCGCCGTAGAAAAGTCACTTCCAATGCTTCATGGACCTTTTTTATATTTCAGAAATATACCTTACATATACATATACATAATATATATGTATATATATATATATATGTATGTATAAAGAAATTGGAGAGCTTACTTTGTGAACATGAACGGAACGAGATGCCCCAAATGCAAAGCTTCAGAGGATGGTCCTCTTCCTGTATACAGATAAAACTTCTGTCCTCTCTCATACACATCCAGAATTTCATTGAAATCCCTGTCAATTGGCACATACATACATGTATATAATATCAAAACGAACAATTAATGGACTATAGAGAGAGTGTGTATGTGTGTACCGGTGAGCGAAGAAGACACCGCGGCGGAGGAAGACGTGTGGAGGACGAGAAGTGAGGCGTTGGACTCTATCGACGAGGGATTGGTCGAGCCTTTGGCATCCGAACTTGTCGATGAGCTTGTCGTAGTCGATCTTCCCTCCGGCCGACACTTGCCATGGATTCACAACCTGTTCTTCTTCTACTACTACTACTTCATCTTTTGCACTCATTTTCCACTCTCTCTAGCAGCCTGTATTTTCCGGACGTAAATTCTACGCACTGCCGGTTCCTTTAAAAACTGCGGCAGTGCGGCGTCTTCTAAACGCACTGCAATAGGAAAAGGTCGTATTTTTAAGTTACGAAAATTACACTCTTCTTCTGAAGTTTGGGAAAATTATATAAACTTTATGTCTCATTTTAAAAATTACACTGGCCTTCTTTATAATCACTTCACAAAATTAACTTATGATATTTAACATGCTCTCAAATAAAATTGTAATACTAATCTAAGGTCACACAAATCCTTTCCAATAAGTGTCGCTCTCACGCTCCGAGCACGCTCCCGCTTCGTACACGTTCTTGTTCAAATTCTCCCTATTTATGATTTAATTTTGTCTCTCTTACATTCTAACTTTCAAATTTGCTTTCGCTTTCGCTTTCACTTCTGTTTTATGTGACTTTGATACTAATACACATTAAATTATTTTACAATCCTTTTTGCTTTATGAATAAGAGAGAGAAGAGAGAAAAAGATAAGAGAGAAGAAACCAATTGTGAGAGAAAAAGTGAGAGGAGAGAGAAAAGTAATGTGTCATGTATTACTTTTTGCTTGTTTTTGTTGGATCCTGTGAGCGAGCACTGGCAGGAGGATTGTCTCCGTGAGAAGCCTGAAACCCTTATGAATAAAAGAATAGATTTGGGAAAACATGTGGCATTGAGGGTATTTTACGCTGATTATTTATTTTTGTATTTTTTTTAATTACAATTAGTAGTTTCGTAAATCTATAATGAAGTCGTCCAAAAAGTTGCCGGCCGAAATTGACTTTCAGGGGTTAATTTGCACGATTTGAATGTTGTGGTACTGACTTGTTTACTTTTGTAGTCCATGAATAAAATGCAAACTTTTGATAGTTTAGACAGTTTGTTACATTTTTGCCTAATATATTGTATAATTAAGCAGGGTTAACAAATACACATATATAATATATATAGCTTACTTTGTGAACATGAAGGGAATGAGATGCCCCAAATGCAATAATATTATATTTATAAAGAAATTGGAGAGCTTACTTTGTGAACATGAAGGGAATGAGATGCCCCAAATGCAAAGCTTTGCGTTTTTAAAGCTTCGATCAGAGGATGGTCCTTTTGCTGTATACGAAAATTACACTCTTTTCCTTCTGAAGTTTGAGAAAATTACATGAACATCCTCTGTCATTTTAAAAATTATACTGGCCTTCTTTATAATCACTTTCACAAAATTAACTTATGATATTTACGGACATGCTCTCAAATAAAATAGTAATACACACATCAAATGATTTTACAATCCGGAAAGAGAATAAAAAAAATAGTATAATCTTTGTTTAATATATATATATCTAGTATATTTTATGAATTATGAAGTGTTTTAAGAGACTTGATACCCAAAATAAAAAAGATCTCTTGTAAAATCCGAAGAAGAAAAAAAAAAATTCAATATTTTTATTTGCACCATGTAATTTTTTCTCTTGGCAAAAATTATTGTTATCACATCTTATTTTCATGGGGTTGGGTGTAATTTTGTAAATAAAAAAAGAGTTATGTAATGTTGTTGAATTTTAGGAGAGAGGTTGGCACAATACACCATTGCCGTGAATAAATTATTCTGGGTCTATTTGATACGTGGTGGACTAATATAATGAAAGTTCATGTTAAAATTTCTTTATAATATATTATTACACTCTTGTGAGGTCATTTTTCCAATCCAGCAGTCTGGATTTAACTGGTTCGTCAAATATCAATAGACTAAGATTATCTAATAATTTATCCTTTTGCTTGCCGGAAACAAACGAGACTAACTTTTGTTGATAATTTAAGTTCAGCTTGACTAAAACTTAGCTCGGACTTTAAATTCCTTTAATAAATAAATCGAGTTTTAGGCACATAAATTTCGTGAGTAACTCATGAATATGACCAGCTAATAAAGACTACTTGGATTTATAGCCTCTCTCTTTTAGTTGAGCTGACACACGCTCTAACATTTAACCCTTCATTCTGCTTTGTGAGTTGATAAAGTGATTATAAACAAACAAAACAATTAAATCAAGTTCAGACAATTATTTTTGAACTAAAATTTTTTGTTTACATTGTTGAATTGATTGCTCCTCAATTTTATTTTATTTTTTATTTTTATTATTATTATTATTATTTTTTGGTAAATTTATGTATATATTATTTTTATAGATTTATTTTGGCTTGGTTATTAGTATTTGTGATTATTGTGTTCCTCAGCAATATTTTTCTAGTAAGCGTGTTTATGGGCAAGGTCATACTTACTGTTCACCTGGAGGGCTGACTCTTTAATTTTATTTTATTTACTAATTTGGCTGAGTAGTGTTGTAATTTGAGATATAAAACCTCTTATATTTGTACGTATCTAATTTAATAGTGACAACAGCAATTCGAGAATTTTGTGAATTTCAATCTTGTTTTTCTTCTAAAGCATTATTGAAGCATAGTGACATAAATGAGAGAGCCCATTTACTACTGCTCATTATTGTATTAGTTTTGAACATGTGACTGGAGCTACTGATGATTGCTATTAGGGTAAATTAGACAGACACCATCTTGAGGTTTGGCAATATTACAAGCATGTCAAGATTTAATTTGTTACAGGATGCCCCCAACCATTTGGTGCATGTCTATGCCTTTTTCTTTCTTCAACAGTTTCATTAGAGTCCTAGCTTCTGATTGAATGCAGTTTGGTTCATCTGGAAACTGGAGGTCTTATTACTGTGTGTATTAGAGAGAAGAATTTCTGGTTTTCTATTAGGTTTCTATGAGATTCATAGGTTTTACAACCATGAAGAAGAGAATGGGGACAGGAAATGGAAGGCAGTTCTCTCCTGATTAACTTTGTGGTAGGTGCTCCGTGGCGGATCGACTAGCATGTGACTGCATAATTGGGGGGTGTGGTGTTGCTGCATCACTTCTTGTTCCATCTGCTATTATGGATCCAACCAATACATTATAGAACATTAAGGGAAAGGGTACTTATTATGTCAATTCTTGAAATCAAAATCCATTGCGTTAGTGGTGTCAGTGCCGCAGGAAATCAGCATGTATCATGATTTAACCGCCATAAACAAGTGATTGTAATTCTCAGAATTCCTATAAATGTATGTGTTAGCCCCAAGGTATCAACCCAAGGATATTTGGGTAATTTTGATGATAACAAACCATTAGTGTGTAAATTTAATATTCCATTTGCGCGTGTCTTTCAGAATTTATCTTTAGAACTCAAAGATCATGGCAAAGCTTATCTACAAATGGAGAATATCATAAAACTTCAAGCGAAGGATCAAAAGACATTGGAAACAAAGATGAAGAAAATGGTTAGCATAGTTATGGTGAGAGATAAACTTTGTGTAAAGAAATTTTTGAAGCAATTGTTTCATAGCTCAAGGTCTAAGACCTAGAAAGACTTTAGGACCATGAACTAAAATGGATCATATCATGTAGAGTTTCCTAAACATATTTACTTGCCCTTTGAATTAATGAAATTCATCTTACAAGGGCACATGACTCACTTCATAAGCTGAAAGTCCTGGCTAAGCTTAGAAAAGATTTTATCTCACCTGGTGACTTATAAACTGCTTCAAATGATTTTGTAGCCGTCTAAAACTAAAATTCCAGTAGACTGGCATCATTCTGAATCATAAGTTTAGCCGTCTACAAATGGTTTTGTAGCCGTCTACTTTGCAAAAGCCAGCACGTGTGAGCTGAACTCTAAGTAGCCTACTACAAATGAAGATTTGACCTTCTAAAACAAGTTGCAGAAAAAGTGGATCTAGGAGTAGCTATGAAATAATGGGAATATTATATTTATTTAGCAACAGGGAAAAAATATATAGGTAAATAACAGCCTACAAATCTGGAATATTGACTCCTAGAATACAGTCCCTATAAATCAGAGATATTATCTAGCAGAATATGCATTCTAATTACAAGACATATGCATTCTAATTACAGGACATATATACAGCTGTAATATACGTTTTCTCCCCATTTAGTGAGCTGTAAAATATGCACAACATATTCATACCATAATTGTTGATTCTAACACTCTCCCTCAAGCTGGTGAATGGATAGCTTACTAACAATAGACTGAAATGCTGAACTACTCAATTCTTTAGTTAACACATCTGCAAGTTAATCCTCGGTTGACACACATGGTGTACAAATCAGTTTGCTATCCAACTTCTCCTTTATAAAATGTTTGTCTACTTCTACATACTTGGTGTGGTCATGTTGCACAGGGTTATATGCAATATTAATTGCTGATTTGTTATCACAATATAGCTTCATAGGTCCTTCCCATGCAATCTTCAGATCTTCCAAAATATTTTCAACCATAGAAGCTCACAAATTCCTAATGCCATAGCTCTGAACTCAGTTTTCTACACTTGACCTTGCAACTACATTCTGTTTCTTGCTTCTTGCTTCTCCACGTTACAAGGTTGCCACTAAGGAATGTACAATAGCCTGAAGTTGATCTTTTGTCATCAACTGATCCGGCATAATCTGCATTCATGTATGCTTCCAATATCAATTCATTTCCTCTTCTAAACAACACCCTTTCCTGGAGTACCTTTCAAGTATTGTAGAATTCGATGTGTTGCTTGAAGATGTACTTCTTTTGGATTGTGCATAAATTGACTCACCACTCCTACAACATAGGCTATGTCTGGTCTGGTTTGAGAAAGATAGATTAGTTTGCTAACTAATCTCTTATAGGATTCTCTATCCACCACTGCATCTTCTCGAGCTTCACAAAGCTTGTGATTCGGTTCAATGGGTGTCTCCACTAGTTTACACCTTGGTTCCCTATCTCAGTTAATAAATTTGGCACATACTTCTGTTGGGATATAAAGATCCTATGTCAAGAGTGAACCACTTCAATGCCAAGGAAGTATTTTAACCTGCAAGTTCTTTAATCTCAAACTCTTGCAATAAACACCTTTTCAATGCCTCCATCCTTTGCAAGTCATCCCCTGTTACCATTATATCATCCACATAGACTAATAGAGCTGTAACTCCCCCTGAAGCAGAATGTTTGACAAACAATGTGTGATCACCCTGACTTTGTTTATAACCCAAAGCTTTCATTACGCTAATAAATCTGCCAAACCAAGCCCTGGGAGACTCTTTTAAGCCATAAAGGGCCTTTTCCAACTTATATACCTTATTCTTCTCTGACTCAAACCCTGAAGGAACCTCCATATAGATTTTTTCATCAAGATCACCATGTAAAAAGGCATTTTTTACATCAAACTGCTGCAAACTCCAGCCACGATTAGCTGCTAAAGATAATAGGATTCTTACAGTATTCATTTTTGCAATAGGAGCAAATGTTTCAAGATAATCTATCCCATAGGTTTGAGTATACCCCTTAGCTACTAACCTTGCCTTATACCCTTCAAATGATCCATCTGCCTTGTACTTTACAGTGAAGACCCATTTACAACCCACTAGCTTCTTTCCTTGAGGCGATTCCACCAAGTCCTATGTTTTTGTTCTTCTCAAACGCATCCATTTCAACCTTCATAGTTATTTCCACTATTTACTTCCCAATGCTTCAAAGACAGTTTTTGGGATAGTAATAGTATTGAGGTGGATAAGAAAACTTTTATGACCATTAAACAGCTTTTCATAGGACATAAAGTGAGACAATGGATATACAGGCCGCTGAGTACACTTCCTAACACATTTTCTAATTGCAATAGGAAGATCATAATCATCAACGACAGGCCCATTTCTTTCATAATCTTCAAAATTAGGAGGTACCTCAACATTATCAACACCAGAGATTGGTTCGGAATCAAGAACCTGCATTGGTTGAACAAGGGGTTCTTTCCTCCTTGAATATACCTACAATGGGGAGTAGCACTATGAATTTGTTTACCCTTTGCCGCATGGACTAAGAGTACTTGGTAAAGGAACAAAAACGGATGATGACGAATTAGATAATGACAGATTTTTATTTTGTGAGGATGGAAAGGATGAAAGATCAAGCAAAAACAAATCTTTATACTTATCTCCCATAAATAATGTCTACCCCTGAAGACAAGGGTTTGGAAAGTAATTCTCAGTTTCAACAGATGTAATATCTATAGAGACAGAGAATCGTTTTGTTGGAGGATGATAACACTTATACCCTTTTTGTGTTGAAGAATATCCAACAAAAATGCACTTAAGAGCCCTTGGATCAAGTTTCCCACTGTTATTCGAATGAATATGAACAAACGACACACACCCAATGATCATAGGAACCAGGTGATTTGTTGTTTTCAAGTCAGGGAAAAAATTCAAAAATAGTTGCATTGGGCAACTCAAGTGGGTAACCTATTAATCAGATGTGTAGCGGTTAAGATAACTTCTCCCCAATAATTTTTTGGAACATTTTTTTGTAAAAGAAAGGCACGGGTAACAGCTAAAAGATGACCATTTTTTTGTTTTGCCACTCCATTTTGTTGTGGTGTGTTGATACATGAAGACTCATGAATGACTCTTTTTTCTTTGAAGAATGGTGACAACACTTAATTAAAGTAACCCCTAGCATTATTAGATCAAACTCTTTTTATCTCAACCCCAAATTGGTTTTTCAGCATGTGGAAAAAATTTTGAAAGGTGGAACTGACATCTGATTTACTAACTTTTTTTTTTTTTTTTTAATTGACTTTTCAGAAAAGAGTTATTAAAAACAGTCAAACAAATAGATATTTGTACTTTATTTTTATTTTTATTTTTTATATATATTTTTTGACTTGGATTGAAATGGCATGCATCAAAATGTTAAAATATATGTAAACTTTGAATAGTAAAATTTTAAACCGGCTGCAATTTTTCCTTTCTGTTAATTCGTGAGTGTAATTCGTGAGCGTATTCCATGTATAATATGTCATGAACTAAATTAGAATCATTTTCATCTATTCTATAAGAAATGATCCCCTTTTATTAGTGGGTTCGAATAAAGACCCGAGATCTTGAGCAGTCAATCCGACAGTACAACTCAAAAGATAAAGAAGTATCATAATCCAAATTCCAAATTCGATGTAACTATCCACTATAGATTATAACTCACTTGTATCTCTTACATTTTTTTAAGGTGGTACATTGACACGGATTGAAAATTAGGAAGGGGTGGACACGGATCTGATCTGATCGGATTAGGTATCAATCTTAATTCGATTTGCTCTCAACGGATTGAAAAAATTTTAATCCGCTACTGATCTGTGAGATAACGGATCGGATCCACGAATTGGAGTTTTTTTTCAAAATTGTCCAATATTATTTATTTTTTAACCATGGCCGAATAGATAAAATTTCAATTTATCAACATTAATTCAAATATTTATAAATGATCATTAACTAGTACATCCATTAAATTATCAGTAAATAATTAAATTAACTAATACATTTTTGAATATATATATATATATATATATATATATGTATATCTTGCGGATCAGATTCTAACAGTCCAATCCGTGATCCGATTCTTGAGTTATGAATTCAAAAAAATTTTAATCCGCCGTCGATCCATGGGTGTAGCTCCGCACAAATCGGATCAAATTTGCGGATTATTTGTCCACCTTTAGAATAAATAAAATTACTAACTTTTTTTTTTTTTTTTTGAAAGGTAAATTACCATATTTTTTGGGTCATTGGAAAGAAAGTCACACACCCACTTTATTTATTTTAAGACTCGAACCTTCACCATCCATTTTAGAAAGTAAGGAAGAAATCACTGGATCACAAGTTCTGGGTACTCTTTTCTTATTCTTGACGAGTGGGGCAATCACAATCTTATGGATGGCCGAACCTTTTTTGGGCTACTTTTAGAAATCCAAGGATTGGGCTTGCTTGTTTCTACTAACCTATTGAGGTGAGTGGAACGATAAATTTACCCAACTAAAAATAACTTTTGGATAATATGTGGACCAACTACCTTTCTTCTCCATAATGTTTCGGCCAAGCCCAAAAAATTAAAAATCTAAACATGGCCCAATTTTAGATTCCCCACTCAGCTGGACTTTATTTTCATTTTTATTTTAATTTGCCAATCAAAAAACAGTTCTTAATAATTTAGAAAACAAAAATCTATTTTAAGATAACAGTTTTTCTGTGAACACACTTTTTTTTTTAATTGACTTTTCAAAAAAGAATTATTAAAAATTGTCAAACAAATACTTTTGTATTATTTATTTATTTATTTGACTTGGATTGAAATGGCGTGCATCAACATGTTAAAGGCTTACAGCTATCATTCACCAAAATAAGCACAAATACCTCCTAATGGACCTCCAACATATATACCTAGAACAAGCAAAAAACCATCTCATGTGTGTTGGTCTTAATCACCTCAACATGCTACAGCTATCAGTTTTAAATGATTTGTGGTTTCAATTCTCACCTATGTCTCATTTATTATATCTGCAAAATGTTTTCTAGTCATCAATTAACATGATTAAAGATCAACCAAACTTGTTTCCAAATTCATCAATGCATGTCACATAACCTGTTCCCAATTGGCAAACCTCAAATTGCCTCAAATCATTGTTACCAATTTATTTTCTTAAAATGCAATCAAACATATTCTAATTTCATGTTAATTCAAGATTTCTGTTATCAGTGATAGTGATGAAAGACCCCTTAATTAAAGTATTCTCAATCCATTACTGAACCAGCATATACAGACTACACTGTTCTCTTCATCATATACATTCTTTTGCATAGAATTAAAATTTGTGAAATGGAGAAAAATTAATCGAACATAACTTAAATCAGATCGAAAGATTCAAATTCTCATCATATTTTATATTACTTCAACCTTTGTTATTCAACTTTGTTAGAATAAACAAATATTAAAAATGATGAAAAGGGGTTCGAGTCAGACGTGAGTAGTGTAAATACTTAACTGATAAAAATAAATAAATAATACTAATAATAATATGCTAACATAAGACTTTTTTATTTTCTTTTTAAATATTTTTATTTTTCTATAAAAGGAAAAGAGTCCCAAAGCTTTGAGCCAATGTGTAACTCGAACTTAGTGAGTTTGAGCCCATAGCATAATCATCATACCCAATGACTCAATGCCATGTCCTACATATTAAAATCCAAATCTTTGGGCCTTAATCTCAGCCGTTGATCTACACGCAGCATCAGCCGTCCGATCTAGGGCGACGTGACTCTGAGAACCCTATTATCTATTGCCGTTCCCTCTCAAAACTCTCCTCTGCTTCAGCTCACAGAGAGAGAGAGAGAGAGGTGTGAAGCCGTACGAAGATGGTTCAACGGTTAACCTACCGCAAAAGGCATAGCTATGCCACCAAATCTAATCAGCATCGGGTCGTCAAAACCCCTGGTACATACACACACACATATATCTATATATGCTGTATTGATAATACTTAATCTGTTCATTCCTGCTCATTAATTGATCCCTGCAAATTTATATCCGTTAATGTATGTATACAACTATATGTATGTTTATGGTTATAGGATTAGGGTTTGTGATGATTATTCCTTTCCATGAATTAGATTGAGTATGAAGCACATTTGATTTATGTTTATGTGACTGTGTTTCATTTGGGATTGGAATATTAGGTGGACGCCTTGTGTATCAGAGCACGAAGAAGAGGGCGAGTGGACCTAAGTGCCCTGTTACTGGCAAGAGAATCCAAGGGGTATGCATTTCCTGATTAATTTTAAAACCTTAGAAGTTCAATTTGATATTTTGGAATGTATCATTTGATGCATTTTTCTGATTATATTAATACCTTAGTAGTTCAATCTGGCATTTTGGAATCTATTATTTGAAATAATTAGATTATTGGTGACCATATTGTAGTCTTTGTTTTGTAATAGCTTTTGACTATGGCGTGGTGCTTTGTAATTTTTCAGAAGTACAACTATTGATTGTTGTAGTGCACCCGTTTCATAGCCCAGAAAACCCTCCTCACTTGTTTGCGTGTTGAGTTTGTTGAATGGCGTTTTGTTGTTAATAATTTAAATTAGATGTTTGGGGATTTAAAAACTGAAGTGATTATATATATATAGCTTGTGGATCTTTATTTGTATGCTTCCATTTTTTTTTTTTTTTTTTTTTTTTTTTTTTGTTTTTTAAAAAAGGCTGAAGAAAATAATTATCTCTATGAGTGTTCATGGCTTGGAATATCGGTTGACATTGATATGCGTCATATTGAATGATGGATTTTAGTGCTTATCAGTATATTGATGGGAGTAAACTTCACAGTTGTATTCACTTTATGGTCCAGTATATGGATTTGACAATTACACTGAAAGACACTTCTAGGCCACATTCATTTTCTTTTCACCTTTTCTGTCATTTAAAGACTGGGAAATTTGATATTTGTGTTAAGTTAGGTAGTGAACGATAAAAGCGATTTAGATTTTTATACATCATTGTGGCGTGTGTAAGTTCAAGTACATAAATCACTTCTTTTTGAATGGGGAGAGAAATTGTATTCAACTACACCGTCAATTACTTGATCTTATACATTCACGATTTTGCAATTTTTTTTTTTCTTTCTGTTTTGTCTTGAAATGTTGCGAAGAGGTAAGCAACAGTGACTTTTCCCCCAACATCAGCTTAAGAAATAACAAGGAAAGAGGTCAAATAATAGGAAGTACTTTCCTATAAACATCGTTGTAAGATTTAGTAGCCGTAACTGATCATTTTCTTACGCTGTCACAAAATTCATTAAAATATTAGTAAGACCATCATTATATAGAAGTATGGGGGATCTGACATGCTTATCAGTTACTTTTAGAGGTTGCTAATGCAAAGGTTTTTTTATTTTTATTTTTATTTTTTGGCTTAGATAATTAGTTCTCATTAAGTGACTTAGAAATTATTGTAATATTTAGCCATAACTGATCATTTTCTTATGCTGTCACCAAATTCATTACTAAGACCATCATTATATAGAAGTATGGGGAATCTGACATGCTTATCAGTTAGTTTTAGAGGTAATGCAAAGGTTTTTTATTTTTATTTTTATTTTTATTTTTATTTTTATGTTTTGGCTTAGATAATTAGTTCTCATTAAGTGAGTTAGAAATTATTGTAATATTTAGCCATAAATGATCATTTTCTTATGCTGTCACAAAGTTCGTTAGAATATTACCAGGACTTATGTTATCCGGACTCGGGTACGGGTGTCGGACACGGGTACGTGTTTAGAGGTCGGATCCACCAATCTATTCAATTGTAGGACACGGGGACACGGAATAAAAGTGTCCAAAATTCGGACACGGGTACTTGGACACGGCATACAAAATATTAAAAAATAAAAAATTATATTAGTGATAGTCTGATAAATTTAATCAGATAGGCAACTAAGCATGGCATAAGGCAGCAACTAACAAGATAACTTAGATAAGTAAGAGATGATGTTAATTCATAATTGTTAAATAAGTTAAATAACATGAAGAAAACAAAGAGGGAAAAAAAATATATAATATAATATAATAAAATTGGGGAGAAGATTTTTCATGAGTACTGTTTATTTTTTTGGAAGGTAAATGTATTGTATTGAAAGAAAGAATTTACAGCAGTCCAAAGCCTCAACCAATGGGCCAACCCATAAGTTAAACAGCCCATAAGGTAAATATTGTGTTGAAAGAAAGAATTTACAACAGGCCAAACCCTCAACCAATGGGCCAACCCATAAGTTAAATAGCCTATAAGGCCTTACAGATGGATTAAGGACGTATTCAGTGTAGGGTTTCCTAAACTAAAGAAGTCTAAGCCAAAGATCATCCGGTTCCAAGCGGCGATGCAGGTGACGCACTAGCCGCACCGTGCACCACCGTGCTCATCAGTTTGGAGGCTCTGCAGGCGGCCGTATGAAGGAATCAGGCAGATCCCACGTGAGTATCATTCTCCTAGAACAATCAGAGTCTTTAACCACCATAGATGATAGTCTCTGCCTTATCAATAATAAATAGGGTTATTCTTGTCAAAAACTCACAACACACACACAGTCTCACACACACACATATACACACAAGAGAGAAGAAAGAAAAGAAGTCTCAGATCTTTTGAGGCGGCAAAAACGCAACTTAATATGGAGTACTACACATTATTTTCTAATTTTTTCATCGTAAACAAATGCTTTAATTATAAGGTTAAAAATGTAAATTTACACTTATTTCAAACGGTCAATTGTGGTGAGTGGGTTACAGCAGGTAACCCACTAACCACATATTTATTATTATATATATACCATATATATATATATACTACTACCATATATATATACACGCGTTTCTCAATGACAATGACAGGCAGCTGTTTGCTGAAATTTATTTACGCGTCAGAACGTGAACAACACGCTCCAAATAGGGTAAGTTTCTATGCAAAACCAACGCGTGAAGAACCCTTGTCTTCTCTAAAACCCCCTTCCTGAAAATCGCGGTGAAACCGGTAATTTCCGACCACTGAAATAAGGGTTTTCTTCAACGGCCGTGTCCGATCTTGACCGTACAAGGTCGGACGCATATCCCGTGTCCGTGTCCGTGTCCGTGTCGTGTCGTGTCGACACGGACACCCTCGCCGGAAACGACGAATCCAGGTAACACAGACCAGGACTATCATTATATAGCAATATTGGGATCTGACAAGCTTATCAGCCAGTTTCAGGGTATAGGGGTTGCATTATTGCTAATGCAAAGATTTTTGTTTTTGTTTTTGTTTTTTTTTTTTTTTTTTTTGCCTTCACTGAACCATTATTGTAATAAATTAAAAAGTGTATCATAATATTTTCACATTTTCCATTGGTTTTGCATATGAGTGGAACATGTTATTATGCTCCATAATGTTGTCTATTACAAATTTTGGTGTGCATTGCATTTCTTAGTCATTTGTCTGAAGTGGCTGTTCCATTTTTGGATAGTTTGAAGTGGCCCATTAGATTGACTAGAAAAGTAGAACCCCAAGAGCAAGGTTCATTTTTTCCTTTTAGCTTTTGTATGTGTACCTCCCAAGGGTTCCCTGCAAATTGTGGGACATTCTGCTTTTGTACAAATATTAGGATCTTATTACATATTACTGGATAGTTTCTCTCACCAAAGGACTCCTAGTCTTCCCATTTATTTTTTGTTTATTCGCAAATTTGGTATTCCTTTGTTTTTAGCATCGTATCAAGTTGAGTGCCATTCATGGAGTTTCAAGCATTATGACATTCATTTTAAGTACAATATTGAAGCCATGATACAAATTTTATTTATGTTTGCAGATTCCTCATTTGAGACCTGCTGAATACAAAAGATCTAGATTACCTAGGAACCGAAGGACCGTGAACCGTGCTTATGGTGGAGTGTTGTCCGGAGGTGCTGTAAGGGAAAGGTACATTATTTCAAACGTCCTTCTGTTTTTTCTTCCCTCTTTTTTCTTTTTTATTACTCGTAATACAAGTTTTTGGGACTTGTTTTGTTGGTTTTATAGGATCATTAGAGCCTTTTTGGTTGAAGAACAAAAGATTGTGAAGAAGGTTCTGAAGATTCAGAAGACCAAGGAAAAGCAAGCTTCTAAGAGTTGAGCTAAGAATATTGCATAAAGCATTTACGTGTGTTTGGATCAATTTTGGATACGGCAATGACAATGAAACATGGATGTGTAGTGTGAGAGTACAATTTGGTTTTGTATTTTCTAGGGTTGTTTGAACTTTGATTATTTACTACTGTCAATTTGGTCAACAAGTATTCTCCTAGGATTTTGTTTTCCATATTGTTTGTTATGCTGAGTTTGGATTTTCTTGTAATACTAGTGGTTCGATTTCGGTTTTAAAATTAGATTTGGATTTATATTTTAATTTTCATTCGCTCACCCTTTTTATTTTTATTATTATTTTATTTTACGTGGAGATATTGGTATAGGTGATGATGGATCTCACAACTGTTCTGTTGCTACAGCTGCAGGATGTAAACTTGGTTTATAAACTTTAGAATTAAATTTCATGCTAAAATTTCACCTGTTACTACAAAAATGGAGTAGGATAGATAAAAAAAAGTGTCATTTGATTTATATATATTTAAATGATTAATTGAAATTCTGTTTTCCCATCAATGGCGATAAAGTCAGGCGCTGAGGCTGTAGCTTTCTGAATGCTGGGCTACTTTTGATGGGATTTGTGTGACCGTGTGTGTGTGTTTTTATTTATTATAGTGCTATTAAATTCGGGTTTTGACTGAATTTATGATGCACTGTAACTTAGTATTGCTGGGACGATGACAAAGAACAGTTTATTTGCTTTATCAGGTTATACTTGAATAGCTTTGTAATATTATATTTCTTGGCTCTTGTGATTTATGATCATTGCATGAACATACATGTGATAATTATTGAGAAAAGAAAAATGACTATATATTGAATATTTTTGCACAAACATGTTATATTATTTCCAATCTTTTTAACACACATTATTATTCATTGGCATCTATAGCCAAATCAGTATTACTTTTTATTTATTTATAAATAATAGATATTCGAGTTGTTTTGTTTCTTCTGCTAATCAAATCTAAGGAGACCGGGAGAACTTCTCTATCATCTTGGCAACCAACTTGTCATGGGGTGGGAGTGTCTCCTTCATCAGAGGACAGTCTAACAGAGCATCCATCCAATAGAAAAATGCAGGGTGCTTTTCTGGATCAACACCCGAACCGACGGCCTCAGCAAAAACTTTGTAGTTGCAAGCACTTGAGCCTACCACAATATCAAGAAACCCGAGGGTGTCGCCGTTGGAGAAAGGAGGTTTTTGTTGAAAATCCCTGTCGATGCCTTCTTCAAACACCTTAAGCAACTCAGGTAATCTTCTATGGCCTTTTCTTGCTCTTTGCCTTTCGTCAAAATGATTGGTAATAAACCTGGACGGAGCTGATGGTATCAAGAATATTTCATTAGCATTAAGCAGACTAACATATATAACATTGTAACTAATCAGAAGTGGAGGACTAAGTGATACCATACATAACCTTTTGATCAAAAAAATTGGCCCAGAAACGAGCTTTGGCTCTCTCAAAAGGATCCTCTGGTAACAGTTTGGGAGTGTTGTTCCAGTATTCGTCGATGTACTCGAGAATGACGAGCGATTCGGCAATGGATTGCCCTTGTGCACCAGTACAGGTACTTTCTTATGGACAGGGTTGTAATGGAGGAGCAGTTCACTCTTGTTTGTTAAATCTTCCTCTACGTACTCGTAGGGTATGCCCTTAAGTTTAAGGGCCAGCACAACTCTGGTGCAGGAGGCGCTAGCCCGCATCCCAAACAACACAACTTCACTTTGCTTCTCCATTCTCTCTCTCTCACTCTCTCTCTTTCTTCCTTTCTCAGATGGTCTATTGCATCAATGTAGTTGAAATCTATATAGACTTTGTGAGGAGTGTCTTTTGCATTTAGGTGAGTCATATACATTATTCAATGGTATTTGGTATGAATAAAATTTATTATCCTATATATGGTCTTTTGCATTTCTTCTTTGTAGGGTGTTAGGTGAGTCAAATAGATTTTTCAAATGGTATTTGGTATGAATAAAATTATTATCCTATATATAAGAAGAAGAAAAAAAAAAAAAAAAAAAAAAAAAGGATAAAATAATGGAACATAATTGACCATAGTATTTTAAAGAATCGGATTTGAATTTCAGAAAAGAAAAAAAATAAAATTTACTTTAGAAGCAAGGAAAGAGTCGTTGTGAAGGCATTAAATATAATTGTTTAATCAATGTCGACGAAATGACCATAATATTTCCATTGAAAATAAACAGGGTTGCATTTTTTTTTTACGTGAAGGGCAAAAACAAAGAACCGAAAAGAAAAACAAGATCCCATATTCAGGCCCAAGCCCAATTCATACTCAAGCCCAATCAAACACCTGACTACACACAAACAGCAGTCATGCGAGGCAGCAATGCCATCGGACAGGAACCTAGGGCATCAACCAGCAAACCAGCAATACCTAGGGCAATTGATCGAAAGAGAAGAAGATGTTCTTCTCCAATGGGTCGAAAAACGACCTAGGTAGGTTCCAATCGGTGGCAATAGACTCCGGTGAAAGGGCAATTGCACATTCTAGTTGAGAAGAGCCCGAAGTCCGATGGAATCAATAATGTATTCAGAGTTTTCAAGGTTCGGACTCTATTCTTCCATAATACTGAAGAGAAAAATTTATACTATATTAAATCAATTTACAAGAATAACGCCTTCAAACACCCGGTACACGAATACTGTCTTCTAACACCGCAGAAGGATTATGGTATGTATCCCGGTACATGAATGGTGTCTTCTAACACCGCAGAAAGATTATGGTATACATACGCTGATCCGATTATCTCTTTTTGGAAGATTTCAACATTAACACTATCTCCAACCACGTGCATATCACTCCATACATTTCTACCTACACGTTCTGATAATGTAAAATTTTCTCTTCATCATACTGCTAATAGTAGAACCCAACTTTTAAACTCTGAAAATAAAATATACACCCCATGCAGAAATCAAATTATATACAATATTTCTATTACCATTTTCAATTATTGTAAATATATTGTCTTTTAAATTTTGCATTAAAATAATAATATCGTGAATTTCGGTACGAAGATGAATAATTAATTCACTATTTTCCATCCTAGCATCTTCAAAATGATGTTCCGCAACTTCAAATGCGATTCTTAGGTGCAGAACTTCTTCTTCCTCATCATTTTCCTTAGCTTCCAAAGCTATTTGTTGTACAACGCCTCTCGCTCAGCCTTAAGTCTTTTAGACTTGATTCTTGCTTCGGCGAAGTCATATCTAAGACGGGCAAGCTCATAGTCACGAGTAACATATGTTCCCACTTCCACTACGAGATCCTCCATTTCTGTCAAATAAGCAATGTAAAGAAATATATATTCACGGAGAAGAAAGAAATCCACACACACCATCAATATGCACAAAAGAAAAAAATATGAGATGTAAAAAGACATTGAAACAATGTAAAAAATATATATATTCACGGAGATGAAAGAAATCCACACACAAAACAGATAAAATGGAATAGATAAAACTACAAAAATAAACGTGTGAAATTATGTATGACCAACATGTATATATAGAAAGAAAATTAGGGAAATGACATCAGAAGAACATAATACAAGTAGGGATGTAGGAAGACATTGAAACAATGTAAAAAAATAAATATTCACAAAGGAGAAATCCACACAATGTGCACAAAAAGACATATAAAATGGAGTAGATAAAATTAACAAAAACGAACCGAAACGAACAAAGTCACCAACCGTGTGTTTGTGTTTGTGAATAGAGAGAAAATACCTAAAATACAAGGAGATGTGTGGTAGAAAGACATAGAAAAAAAGTATAGAGATATGTATATTTACAGAGAAAAAAATCTACACACAGCCAGTCAATATACATTTACCGAAGAATATATATAGCACAAACAAGAGAAAATGGAGAAGAAGAAACACAAAAACGAACCGATTATGTATGTATACACATATATACATATGTATATATGTTTGGAGGGAGAGGCAAAACGGAAACAAAGAAAAAGCAGTAGTACCTGATGATTCAGTAATAGCCGGAGAAGGGAGAGTTCGTTGGAGAGAGAGATAGAGAGATAGAGACGAGAGAGAGAGGACTTGGTGGTCTAAGGTCAGATGGTTAAATAAATAGGCACACTCTTGAGAGAGAGAGAGAGAGAGAGAGAGAAGAGAAAGAATGTTTTAATTGTGACTCCCGTATTGTCATTGTCAATATATTGATTCAAAGTACCCAACACTATAAAAAAAGCAAATTTAAGTACAAATAACTCCAACAATATAAAGTACGTACCTTCAAGAATCTGTAATAACTCCACCAATTGATTCAAAGTATCTTCAAGAATCTGTAAACGTCTTCTTAAATTATGTTTCTTCAAAGTAATTTTTAATTCTATTTCTTCTATTTCTAAAGGTCTTTCATAATTATGTTTCTTCTTTGAGTAGGGAAGGAATATGAGCTTCAAATATTAGATGAAAATTTGATATTAATCTATAATTAAATAGAGTTTTTCGTTGTATATTTTTTATTTCTTAGTCAGAGTTAGTTTTTCTTGTAGATCTATTTTTTGTCAATCAAAGTTAGGTCTATCTTTTGCATCCCTCCAAGTTCCCAACACCTTTAATTGATAGGGCTAGGAATTGGCTTTTTTATTTTTATTTTTATTTTTATTTTTTTATATCCCTTTCCCTAGTTGGTGGAAAATATGAAAGGAAAAAAAAAAAAAAAATAGGGAAAGAAAAAAAAATTGAATTTGGATTTAACCTGTAAGAAGTTGGATAATAATCATTGTTAAAAAAAAAAAAAATTAAAATTTGAACATATGTCTAAATTGTATTGGCCCACATCAGTTGGGAGGATAAAATGGGAGGACCCAAGTATTGTTGTCCTTATTTATGTAGTTGAATTATTATTGTTTTACCCTCCCCTCTCACACACTCTATACACATGAGGATCCACGCTGCCACAATTTATAAAATCCTTATCTTGAACCGAACAATTCTCATGATTTTGATTTGGCGCATGAATCATATGGATGTTGTAATAGTGGAATGCTCATCAACCTCTCTCTATCCACATTGAAAGAGGAATGAGATTTTGGATAGAATTGCACAATATTTTTGCCGATCAAGGAAGGGATTTGGTGGTCTCTGCACCCGGCTTCATTACTTATTTGAATCATTTGTAGCTGTTGTATGTTCTTAATTTACTTCCAACTCAATTTAATTTATCCCCAGTTCTTGTTCTGATATCAGGCCACACTGCAACAGGAAGACTCCTCCGAATTTACGTGCAACGGAAGGTCCAAGACCTTGGCGAAAAGGAGTCCCAAAAAATTCTTTTAAGGTGATTTTCCTCAACAACAAATACATACATGAATAACTACCAAAGCCTAATGGTATCTCCTCTTCTTTCAAAGTGAAAGGTAGATATCTTCCCAACTGAGGGATAATTTCACTAAAACTAGAATGACCCAAAGAATGTTTATTGCAGAAGTATTGGATTTTGATTTCAGATAAGTCTAAAAGACATGAAGCAATAACTTCAAATCCCCTTCCAAATTTTGATACCAAACATCAAAGAGAAGATATAATTCCAACAATCAGTTTCATCTAAATATCTGAAACTTCAAACCCAAAGTCTGGAAAAAAAAAAAAAATTATTTCAAAAAAAATAAAAATAAAAAACTTAATATTGCACCGTGCAAGAAAAGCAATTGATAAACTAACAAATGAGATTCTTATCTATTCAAATTTAAAGTATAAATAAAGCCATATACCAACAAAATGAGATAATTATTTCTAATAGATGAAAATTTCAATTGATAAACAATATAGCACAAGTAGAACAAGTAAAATAAGTTGAAAGAATTTTACCTTCTTTTTTCCGATTCCACTCATTTCACACTTTGTGTTTTTGCTTCTCTTTCAAAAGTAAACCCTGCATCATTCAAATTAAGACGCAACATATTAGGAAACTTTATGTTAACACTATTGATATATTATATAGTTTTGAAGACATAACAAAAACAAGGCACATAACATAGTACACAGATTTCAGGTTGTAACAGATGCAGATGAAAATTTTAATTTTGAAGATGCAGATAATACAAGATTCATACATTCATAAATCTCAACAGGAGAGAAACTTTTGCTTGTGGGAAAGATTTTGACGAGAAGCATCAAACAGATTTGTTGATCTCTGCCTTAAAAATACTTCTTTATATATTAAGAACCCCCTGCTCTCTGCACTTCCCATATCTCAGTTTGTATTTATACACATATTTATATATATATATGAATCAGACGTGAGATTTATTTATACACATCCTTTTAATTATATTGTTTATGCTGGTGAGATTGTTTTGGGAAAGACTTTTAACTTTGGGTAATGAGTAAAGTGTGTTTTTGACCAGATAATTGCAGAAGGAAAAAAGATAATTCAAATTTCAAGAAAAATGTTTATTGATTTCAAATTTCTTGTAAATTGGTGCTTCAATAATGACATTTAGCAAGCTTCTGGTCAAGAAATCATTTCACATAGAAGGAAATCTTGATAAAAGTACAAAGACTATATAAAGCAAACCCAACAAATAAAATTATATATACTGGACAAGAGAAACTATCATAAATGATTCAACGATCCACCACAATCACAAACAAAACCCTAATCTCAAAAGTTGAAACCCTGGTTTCAACTTTCAAGAAATCAAACTACAGCTTTAAGAGTAACAAGATATATAGCGCTGAAAAGAAACCCTACTAAGCAATTACATAATATATGGCTATAAATCCTTCAAAGTTAATCATTATTTATCCCATAAATGAAAGACGATTATGGAGGAGGAGAGGTGGAGAGTCATACCTTTGTCATCCCATGTTCCGATTCTCTCCAATTTCGGACCCATTTTCTTTGGTGGGGAAAATGGAAAATGAAGCAGATTTCTCAAACCCAAATTTAATGTCTAGATACCATAAGCTATGGACGATATAGATGTAGTACTGTGGAGAGAGAAAAAGGCTGAGATTTACTGGGAAGACACAGACGGCTGAGATTTTTTCAAAGAAGGAAAAAAACTAATATTTGATGGTCCTTTTCTGAAAACAAACGTGACCTCTGCACTTCCATTTATCTTTCAGCCAGAAGAGAGAGAAAAAGCTGCTCGGATCTCTTACAATTGGTACCGCACATTAATGATATATATATATATATATGTATACTACTCCGTATATTTTGATGATTTTACCATACTCATAGTCAGATCATCAGATCTACACAATACATACTGAATAAATTGCTTTAATACTGGAAAAAAAATCACTAAATATTGAATCAACACATTCAGGCAGACGAAAAAAATAACAACTACAGAAGCTTTCTAAAAGCACAAAAAAAAAGAATACAATTATATTACCTTGAAGGAAGTCACAATTCTCGGCCTCTTTCCGAACCACATCAAGAACAGAATCGATGAGCTCAGCTCCTTCAGTATAGTGACCTTTGGCCCAATTATTGGCGGCACCGGACTGCCCGAACACGAAGTTGTCGGGTCGGAAGATCTGGCTGTAGGTCCCGGATCGGACGCTGTCCATGGTGCCTGGTTCGAGGTCCATAGGGACGGGGCGTGGGACGAACCGGCCACAGCTGACTTCGTTGCAGTACACTTTGACCCGCTCCAGTTGCAGATCCGTGTCACCTTGGTATCGACCCGTCGAATCTATGCCGTGCTCGGCGCAAACCACCTCCCAGAACTTTGCCCCGATCTGGTTGCCACATTGGCCACCCTGAATGTGCAGAATCTCACGCATTTTCTAGAGAGAGAAAGTAGAACGAAGATCGAGAAGGCGGTGGGGTTTAGGCTCAGTTGGGTAGAGTGGAAATGGGAGGAAACGAAAAGAAAGGTTACGGGGAGTGATAAAAAAACATGTTAGGTATTGAAAGTTGGAAGGAAAGAAAAGGTGATGGAGAGTTTTGGAGGGATAGAAATAGACTCAATGAAAGGAAAAGAGAGGAGAGAGTAGGAGAGATTAATGTAATACCAAAGGCCTAATAGGGCAAAAACAAAGAACCGAAAAGAAAAACAAGCCCAAGCCCAATTCGCAAACACCTGACTACACACAAACGGCAGTCATGCGAGGCAGCAATGCCATCGGACAGGAACCTAGGGCACCAACCAGCAAACCAGCAAAACCTAGGGCAATTGATCGAAAGAGAAGAAGATGTTCTTCTCCAATGGGTCGAAAAACGACCTAGGTAGGTTCCGATCGGTGGCAATAGACTCCGGCGAAAGGGCAATTGCACATTCTAGTTGAGAAGAGCCCGAATTAAGTCCGATGGAATCAATAATGGTGGTATTCAGAGTTTTCAAGGTTTGGTTTGAAGTTTCTCGAAAGACTCTATTCTTCCATTCTAGTTGCTTCCAGGTAAGAATTCTGCTATTCCCCAACTTTTGCTTCCAATTGGATATGGAAATCACCCCAGTTATTTGGGTTGGTAGGTTGTTTGAATAACAACACTCATGAAAATGATGGTTGTGGTTTTCAGCTCGTCTTTAGTCTTGTATAGCTAGTCAATGACAGAAAGTGTTTTTAGAAATAGATTGGCTAAACCGTACAAGCTTGTGCCAATGGACATCAGGGTTTGGTGGGGGTAATGGATTGGATTGTGTGTTTGAGAGAGTAGGTTTTGTTTGGAGATGAAAGGTGAGAAATATTTAGAATTTTGCATCTCTAGTGGTGTGTGAACATGGGGTTTAAAAAATCCACACAGTTCACCATTAATGGAGACATAAAAGGAAGCACTAGAGATGCAAGTGGTTACCCATAAAATGAAGATTTGAGGAAATTTCATGAGTTCAAGGGTGTGTATCGATAAAAAATTGCCAATTGAGAGTGTCATAGGCTTTGTTTAAGTCCGCTTTTAGAGTACACTTATAAGAGAACAAATTCCTATGGTATCCTACCAAATTTTTTTTGAGCAAGCAAAATATTGCCCCCCATTTTCGTACCTCGAACAAGGGCGTTTTGTGCCTTGTCAATGAGCGGAGGTAAGGGTTTTAGTTTGTTGTACTCAAGAGGATGGGAAGGGTTTCAGTTGGTAGCATTAATTTCCTTGAGGATTTCCCCCCGTTTGAAAAACTGTTTTATTGCAAGAGTGATATTCCAAGTTTTTTTTGAAAAAATAGGAGTTGAACCCATCTGGCCCTGGTGATATCTTGGATTTAATGGAAAAAAAATACAATTTTTGATTTCCTCATCAGTAGGGATAGAGCTAAGGTTGCTTAGAAAGGCCTCATGGACAGTTTTTGTAGTCAGCATTTCTAGAATTTGATTTCAGTCACGAAAACCTACATACGCAAAGATTGTTAATATTCTATCCTATATAGAATGTTGTTCTAACATGAAATTGATTGTGCAAAACTGGACAATGATGGTTTCAACTCTACATACATCAATTTGATTCGAGTATATCACTTGTTTGTTGAATAACTAGTGGACATCTCACTGGGACAAGGAGGAGAATCCAACAGATCTGATGGACCCCCAATTATCATGAAAATGCATCGCATTCGGATCCTTCACTGAAGCTATCTCTTGTCCATGACCAGCATTCGCTTCCACTTCGTGTGGTAGAGTGATCAAGAAGCCATTATACTGTTCTTGAATTCTTGCAACCCACCAAAGTCCACACTCTTTGAAGCTTTACCAAAATCCTCAAATACAGAAGATGACGAATTGAGCAGCATGTATGATCATAGATGTGTATCTAGTAGGTTCAAACTTTTCGAGGGGCGAAATTGTTTAGCTCGTGGGAAGGTGTCCATTTGAAATATTGGAGACTTGATCAGAGGGTTTAGTGGCTATTTGGTTAAAAATGCGCTTGTCAGAGGGAAAATCTAAAGTAGACAAACTATTAATAGATGATTGTTGTAACTCATTGTTATGACCAAATTGAATGGATGAAAACATTTGTTTATTTTTTTTCAGGATGGCGGTGTCGGGCCTCTTAGAGCACCCCAAATTGAATAAATGAACTTGATTTTGTTGTCAATGACATGTTCTCTGTACTGCACTGGGTGGTACTATTAGAACCTTGAGTGAGTATATGATCAGACGTGGTTGTTTCAGGTAATGGAGACACCCAAGAATGAGAGATTGCTCATTGTGCAGTAGAGTTAATTATATATATATATATATATATATATATATTTTAATTTTCATTCACTCACCCTATTTTTGGTGGAGACATCGGTATAGGTGATAGATATGTTCGGGTGCTACAGCTGCAGTCTGCAAACTTGATTTATGAACTTTAGAATCAAATTGTATACTAAAATTTAATTTTAATTTTGAGAAATTTATAAAACCCTGGTGAAAAGTGTCATTTGATTTTGTTTTATTTTTTTATTTTTTTATATATGATAGATTTGAAATTCTGTTTCCCATCAATGGTATAAAGAAAGCAAATGAGAACGATCATTTAAGAACAGTTTATTTGCTTTATCAGTTCATAAATGAATAGCTCTGTAATGTAAATATTTATTGGCTCTTGTGATTTATGATCATTGCACGAACAGACATTAATATATTTGTTCACAAACATGCATATTACTTTTTACTCTTTTTAAAACAGATTATTCATTGGCATATGCATACATTGATAGAACCAAATCAGTGTCTCTTTAATTTAGTTTCCCCTACTAATCAACTTTAGGAGACAGGGAAAACTTCTCTCTCAACCTTGCAACAACCTTGTCATGGGGTGGGAGTGTCTCCTTCATCAGAGGACAGTCTAACAGAGCAGACAGCCAGGATAAAAATGCTGGGTGCTTTTCTGGATCGATACTCGAACCGAAGGCCTCGGCAAAAGCTTTGTAGTTGCAAGAACTTGATCCTACCACAATGTCAAGAAACCCAAGGGTGTCGCCATTGAAGAAAGGAGGTTTCTGTTGAAAATCCCTCTCAGTACCGTCTTCAAACACCTTAAGCAACCCATAGTAATCTTCTATGGCCTTCTCTTGCTCTTTGCCCTTTGACATAATGCAATGTAAGCCACCTGGCATGAGCTGATATATATCAAGAATATTTCATTAGCATTAAGAAACACTAACATAACATTGTAATTAATCAAACTTTCATTAAAAAAAAAAAATGCTAAACTAGAATTGGAGGACTGACTAAGTGATACTATATATACGTACCTTCTGATCATGAAAATTGGCCCAGAAACGAACTTTGGCTCTCTGATAAGGATCCTCTGGTAACAGTTTGGGAGTGTTGTTCCAGTATTCGTCGATGTATTCGAGAATGACGAGCGATTCCGCGATGGATTTGCCGTTGTGCACCAGTACAGGTACTTTCTTGTGGACTGGATTGGATTGGAGCAGCAGTTCACTCTTGTTTGCTAAATCTTCCTCTATGTACTCGTAGGGTATGCCCTTAAGTTTAAGGGCGAGTGCAACTCTGGTGGTGTAGGGGCTATTCCACATCCCAAACACCACCACTTCACTCTGCTTCTCCATTCTGTTTGTGAAATTGTGTAATGAATCAATGAAGTTGAAAGCTTTATATAGAATTTTTCTGTGGTGTCATTTTCATTTCTTTATAGGGTGTTTGGTGAGTCAATGGTCTTTGGTCCGAATAAAATTATTATCCTAAAAAATAATATTACTTGGGAAGCAAGAAAAATAAATGTTGAAGGCGGTGTCCTTTTTAAAGTACTCTCGTGGTGTATTTGGATAACTGTTTAGGGTGTTTGGTGAGTCAATGGTCTTTGGTCCGAATAAAATTATTATCCTAAAAAATAATATTACTTGGGAAGCAAGAAAAATAAATGTTGAAGGCGGTGTCCTTTTTAAAGTACTCTCGTGGTGTATTTGGATAACTGTTTAGTCAATGTCAATGAAATGACATATCAAATCATTTATATGAATAAATTTGTGATTGCGTGATTAGCAATTAAATTTATTGAGTAATGTCGTTATTCAACGGATTTAGTGACAAAGCACTCTCTTATAGTAACATTTTCGATAAATGTTAAAAAATAGTCCAATCACATCAACTCAAATAAAATAAATATTTAATTAAATAGCGTTTGGACTCAAATGGAGGTATCATATAGAGAGGTCATTTTTATTATTTCTAAGACATTCCATTGAAATTACTTTCTACTTAATTGCTCCAATTACCCCCCCCCCCCCCCCCCTTTTAGGAGCCGGGGCTGGGACCGGGGTTAGACATGTCATGTCATTTGTATTCTTTAAAAAAGATGACTTATTATGAGAATTATAACCGGTGCACCTTTGTCCTAGTGACTTTAATTCTTCAATTTTGGATGAAAAGTCAAGGTTTCGAAACTTATTGAAAAAAAAAAAAAAAAAAATTGAAACGAACAATTTAAAATGAAAATACAGAAAGAGGTTAAATCAATAGAATTTCAACAAACTCAAAATTAAACTAATGCTAAGCATGGGCATGGAAAGGAACCAGTTGCTACTATGGCTCAGGGACACACCCATTTACTATTGGATAAATTTTACTCTCTTTTAAGGTTTGAACAAATCTCACATGAGCATCGGAAGAGCATTTGAGATTTATTACTCTAATCTCATTATAAAAATTCAATTATACTCTTATATATAATATATTTTTATAATATAAATATATTATAAAATCTAAAAAAAACTTAATTAAACTATCTCATATCTCTTTATTACTTTCTCTCTCCTCTCCACCACCGGTATTATCTCTTAAAAAAAATCTTGTAAATAAATGAAAAAACGAGTGTAGAGGCAGCTTGGTCATTTTATAATTTTTTTTAATAAATTTTACTAAGAGGGAGTTATTGAACATACATCTAAACCTGAATGGGAGGTCAAATTAATAAATCTTTGCCCAAACCTGAGGGAGCATTGTAATTTACAGTTCCTTTTATTGTTTATATGCAATTCTGAGTATATATGGACAAAACCTCACAAGGCCCAAACTCACAAAGAGAACAGCCCAAAATCACCAAGCCGTTAGGGTTTCAAATTAACCGTTGGTTTAACGGTAAGCCAAATCCGGTGGTATCAAAGAATTCAGAGGAAGCCAACTGATGTTGACTTCAAATTTCGACGCCCGGTGACCGTAGAGGTGGTCGGAGGCATGAGGCTTGCAGTTCCCTAAAATTCGAACACAAAGAAAAGGGTTGGCGATGGAATCCATAAAACAGAGTCATCAGCTGATGTATTTTGTGGTGTTGCTGCTAATGAAGGAATGAGATTGAGGGTGTGCATCTGAACAAATGCAAACTTGATCAGAGGGTTTAGTGGCCATTTGGTTAAAAATGGGCTTGTAAAAGGGAAAATCTGAAGTAGAGAAACTAGTACTAATAGATAATTGTGGTAACTCATTGTTATAACCAAATTGGATGGATGAAATTGGCTTTGTTGTCAATGACATGTTCTCTGAACTGAACTGAGTAGTGTTAAAACCTTGAGTGAGACACCCAAGAATGAGAGATTTTGCTCTTTTTGTGCAGTAGAGTTAGTTTTCTTAAAGATCCCACAAGTTTCCCATGAGTCCTGCAATTTAATTTGGATCAATTTGGGATCCGGCCAACGACCATGAATCATGGATGTGTAGTGTGAGAGTACAATTTGGGTTTTAATTATTTACTTCTTCTTTCAATTGGTCAACTAGCATTGTGCTAGGATTTTGTTTTTCAAATTGTTTGTTGATGTTGAGTTTGGATTTTCTTGTAATACTAGTGGTTCTTTAACCTTCATTTTTAGAGTTAGATTTGGATTTGTATATTAATTTTCATTCGCTCACCTTTCTATTGATGGGAAGATGATAAAGAACAGTTTATTAGCTTTATTTAGTCACTTTCTGTTTTCATTTATGATCATTTGCATGAACGGACATGAGCAATGTTCAGTTTGCCAACCCTTTCTTGTAGTAGATCCTCTTATCATCACTTAAGATGACATCCCAGGGAAAAAAAAAATTTAAGACCGTTTTGTGCTAGAACTTCTTGACAAAAGTGACAATATTTTAGAAAACAAAAATGACTATATATTGAATATTTGTCCACAATCATGTGTATTATTCCAATAATTTTAACACAGATTATTCATTGGCATATCCATACATTGATAGAGCCAATTCAGTGTTACTCTTTAATTTAGTTTTTCTTGTTAGTCAAACTTTTAGGGGCAGGGAAAAATACTCTCTCAACATGGCAACCAACTTGTCATGGGGTGGGAGTGTCTCCTTCATCAGAGGAAAGTCTAACAGAGCATCCATCCAAGAGAAAAATGCAGGGTGCTTTTCCAGATCAACACTCGAACCAACGGTACATATAGCATATGCATACCAACCAAGCCCAGCCCAGCAAGATCCAAGTAGTCGATCCAATCCCCTCAAGACTCACATCAACTCGCAAAAGCCAACAAAGCCCTTACATATATATATATATATATATATATATATATAACAAACACAGATTTTTACCCTACAGGTACATATAGCATGTGCATGTCAATCATTTATCTACATTTCATATTCTTCATTGCGCATAACCCATTTCTGATTCTCCTCAAGCTATGGAGTTCAAGAAAGTCCGTTCAAGAAAACCTTGATATTATGGAGAGATGATCTCCTTTCACCGTTCTCTGTTGGCCATCAAAAAGCGAGGGCGGGTGTAGGCAAAAAAAAGTACTATACTAATTTTAACCCAACCAAAAATAAATAAATATTATTAACAGAATTAGCCCACTCAATCAAGCCCAAATCAACTCAGTCACCATACTAAAATAAAGGTCCAAGTCAAATAAGCCCAGGGCCGGCCCTTGGGTTAGGCGACAAAGGCGGTCGCCTAGGGCCTCAAAATTTATAGGCCCATGGATGATGGGGCCACTAGAAAAAATATATATATATATTTAGGGCAAATCATTTCAGCCTCCACAGTCGCCTCCATCTCTATTCTCGTTCTCAACTCTAAACTTGCCCTATACTCGGAAATAGAATGAGGGTCGTTTATTAGGATGGGATGTTTCTAAGGGTGGTTGCCCTTCTCTGTAAACGATGATCTCCTACAAAATAAGGGTTGGAAGATCTGTTACAAATAAAAGAGGATAAGCACCCAACAATAAAAGAAGATAAAGCAGAGAACAATTCTGGTCTACATAAAATTCATTAAACAAAAGGTCTTTATATAGGCAAGTACATCAACTGATAAAAGCATGAAAATACGCACTACACACCACTACACAACGTGCAAAAACAAACTCCTATAAATTTGGTACATATAAACCAACTTGCTGAACACAACTCCACTATTAACAAATTCTTAAGGACTAGGACAACTTAGACAGAGTAAAAATGAAACGTGCAAACACTTAAATTATTCAACAAATCCTCCCTTAAACCGAAAACTTTTGGACTTCAGTTTAATTATGCGATACTTTCTTCAAGCAGGAGTCTCCAAAGTGCAAATACCCAGCAATCTTCTCAGATTGTGAAAGGAAACAGATCTGAGAGGTTTAGTAAATATATCAGCCAATTGATCTTCACTTTTGCAATACTTCAGACCAATCGCTCCATCATTGCTGAGATCTCTTAAAAAATAATATTTCACATCAATATGCTTGCTTCTTCCATGTAGCACATGATTTTTGGAGAGTTTGATAGCTGAGCTGTTATCACAAAAAATTGTAGTAGCTCCCACTTGCTTGAAACGCAGCTCTTTAAGAATTTTCCTCAGCCAGATAGCTTGACAAGCACAAGCCGTTGCTGCAGCTTCAGTGGTTGACAAAGTGACAATTGGTTGCTTCTTAGATGACCACGAAATAGCCCCTGTGCCTAACATAAAAACATAACTTGAAGTGCTCCTCCTATCATCTTGGTCTCCTGTATAATTGCTATCAGTAAACCCAATCAATTGAAAATCTGACCTTTTACCCTTCTTGTAGAGCAGCCCAAAATCTTTAGTTCCTTGCAAGTAACGAAAGATTTTCTTGGCAGCTAAAAGATGCAGCTCTGTTGGATTCTCCATATATCTGCTGATTAGACTCACAGAGTACATTATGTTAAGTCTTGTTGTAGTTAAATAGATCAAACTTCCCACCATTTGTTTATAGAGTGTGCTATTCACCTTCTTTCCTCTGCATCTTTGGTTAGCTTCAAACCAAACTCAGTTGGAGTACTTACAAGATTACAATCCTTCATATGAAACCTATCTAAAATCTCTCTCAAATACTTCTTTTGAGAAATAAAGATTCTTGTAGCAGACTGAACCACTTCGATGCCAAGAAAATAATGCATCATACCAAGATCAGACATTTCAAATTCAACCATCATAGACTTCTTAAACTTTTCAAACATGACACTATCATTGCCAGTAAATAGAAGATCATCTACATATAAGCAAACAATGAGCATTTTCCCTCCATCACCAATTTTAACAAAAAATGTGTGCTCATATAGACATTTTTGAAAACCTTCTTTCAAAAAATAAGCAACTATACCAAGCTCATGGGGCTTGTTTT